GGACAGAGGACACTCGTTTGAGGACCACCAGGTGCACATTTTAGACAGAGAAGATGGATGGTTTGAAAGTGGTGTCAAGGAAGCCATCTACACCAGGGTCGAGAAGCCCTCATTGAACAGGGGAGGGGGTCTACGCCACCACTTATCCCCCACTTACAATGCTGTCCTTTCATCACTTCCCAGGAAACTCAACAAACGTAACCTATTGGCCTCAGGTGAAGATACCAACGATGGTCGTTCAGTCTTGGCCACAGGTAGTCCTAACGACTGTAACGACTGTCGTCACAGCAACAAGGAACACTAACGAACCAGCGGTATCGATGACCCGGGCCAACGACCCCACTGAGGTTAAATAGCTGAGTTTCCCTGCCAGTCAGTCAGAACTGAAGAAGTCCTTTGGATGAGGGACGAAACGTCTTCCAGTATCTTCAACCAAGTCCAGTTGCCCTTGATTTTAACCTTCGTTGGATAGTACGTTAGTTACTATAGGTTATTTTAGCTTTGTATTATACATGTGAATGTGTCAACAGGCCGGGTGTGTATTTGTGCATGTGCACCTGTCTGCTGGCTGTCCAGAACTTCTTCTGAAAGAAGTCCAGTTTCATCTGGATACCCACAGCTGAAAGAGAGATAACATAGTCACTGAGATGCAGCAACAGGACAATTTTGTCTTCTGTGAGCTTTATCACAACACAAGGCAAGAGAGAGAGATCATTAATAAGTTTATCTTTCATTAACAAAAAACTGATGGAAAAGACATGCATACACTTACATTGCAGTGAACCCCTACTGTGCAATGACACCCTGTATCATACATGTTCTTACACTCACACGCCTATTTATATTGTTATATTTATATATTTATTATATTCATATCTTCTTTATATCTTCTACTTATCTACTTATCGACCTTATTATTTCTGTTTCTGTAAATGCATTGTTGTGCAAACTGTAACACAAGACTATCCCCTCAGGGATCAATAAATTATTTCTGATTCTGATTCTTATTTATCTGGGAGGCTGTGTGTGTGCGTGCGTGCGTGCATAATATGTACTATTTGCACAAATGTTCAATGAAATCCATCTCATTCCGCAGTCTGCCTCCCTGTTGTTATCCCGGCAGGCATTTCCAGAGTTGGTATACAGAGTTGTTCCTACTTCCATAAGCCTCATCCCAGCAGGTTCCTAAATGCACAGATCTGACCAGAATTCCTTGCCCAGAAAAAAAACAGTCGCTGACATTAAATGTGTCAGCTTTTTCAGAGTTGGCTCAGGAAAGATAGACACATTCACAACAGGCTTTGACTTCCCTCCTCTCCCTTTACCCCCTGCTACTGAGACTCAAAGAACCCTAGCTTTCTCTCAGTGGGAGTTTGCCATGGTTTTGGGGGTCTATGTCTTTCCACAAGCAAAATTTTCATACAAATTCAGAGCAGCCGCAGGTATTAAACAAATCTTTATCTACTGTATCTCACTTATATATTAATTGCAATGCCATATAGACTATTGAATGTTGTCTTTATGTCTGTCATAACGAAGGTATTTCACACTTACAAAAGGAAAATGCAAAAAGACTGAATGCAAGGTGTAATAGTAATATATATATTTTCAAGGGGCAGAATAAGCACTGGAAGCTTAAACATCACACAATTAAATAAAATGCAAATTAAAAACAAACAAACCAAAAAGATTTGCAGAACCATTATGAAAAATAATGTGAAATAACCCAAAACAGTACCAGCACGCTGGGAAAAACAACCTCCAGACTGCAGCTTAATAAAGTTATGGAATTTATTGTGGCCCATGACCAACCAACACCCTTGTTTCATAGCTGAAAACATCTGAGTCCTAGCCACACATTGCCAAGTACACATTTCATTTGAAAACCGATGTCCCAGATTCGTGATCAGCAAATTCCTTTTGCAAAAAATAATCATTTTGTAAATTCTAGATATATTCATTTATGGGATTTGGGAGAAGGTATTTTACAATGTATGCATCATGTTTTTAGATATCCTGAAGAACAACTTATTTAGTAATTGATAACTATTTTAGAAACAATTTGATCTGACTGGTATTGATATTTTATTGTTGTTTTATTGGTATTTTGTATTGTCTAACTGTCCATTAGATACTTATATAATTTAACAATAATTGCTGTTATATTGTACAAATGAGTATTTGATATTGTTTTACAGTTCTGATTCTACAAACAAATGGACACAAATAGTCAATAATATAATATACTGTATTTACATTATTATACTGTAGGTCATTAGCAGTAGTATATATAATAGAATAGTTTGCTGTTTGTATGATATTACACACACACACACACAGAAACACAGTAATGAGTTACTGTGAGAGATACAGTTAAGTGAGGGTAGATGGGATCCAAATAAAAATACTCACTTAAAGCTTAAAGCATTAGCTCAAAAAAAATAAAATACCAAAAGTTTGATGTCAACTCCTGAAGAGTTCAGTATCAGTCAGAGATTTTCCACTGGTTTGCACTTCTTTAAGTGTAATTTTGCATTTGCATGATTGTTTAAGTGCAGCGGGGTGCTGCTGTGGCCTGTTTTAGCCCTTGCCCAGAGGAACAGGTGCAGATTATCCCGTCATAAGCTTTGCCAGATCCTTTCAGCAGCCCACCATTTCTACACCCACATGGAAAACCCAGGAGGAGAGGCTAATTTAAGATGCTGGGCAACAGCAATGGAAACACACATGGTATAAAACCAGGGAGATCCTAGATCATTAAAGCCAATAAAAGACACAGAATCTCCTCCTCAAAAGAAAGAAGATGTAAAACAAAGGAATGGTAAAAAGATGAGGTCAAATTAAATTGTCATACAAAAATACTTTGAATTCTGATTCATATTTGTTCAGCAAAGAAAATAATTCATGGAAACATAAATCCAATATGAGCAGCACAGGGGTTTTCTCTGTAAATCTGTATTAGAGGTTAAAAGTGCACTGATGTTGGCTGCTACCTGGAAGTCAGCTCAGAACAAAAAGACAAAAGCCCAAATATGTCTCACTAATGCTTGGGAATTTTTTGTACCATGGGGGGACATTTAATTTCCCTAGGTATGATTTAAGAACTTGGGGATATTTATGCCCTGAGCTGGGTTTATGAGTCCAAAGATGAAGAGACATAAAATCCACTCCAAATCCACCCTATCACCAATCTCCTATGAGTGCAATTCCATGCAGAGAGAGATGACAACCGGTTTAAATCCTACCGCTTTTTGGGATTCTAATGAGGATTGTATAAACATATACATCCATCAGCACAAGGTTGCATCCACGTGTGTCTACGTATGTTCCCAGGTAAGTACTGTAGCGAGGGCAAACATAAGTGTGTTGTGTGTATGCTTGTGTTTCTCTTTGAATGTGTATGCATCAATTCACATCCTGACAGCAAAAACACCTCTGGGACAAGCTTAAACTCACAAACAAGGGTCACAAACATCCACAGAGCTATCCGAGAGATGTAGTGATTTGCAAATTTGGTGGTGAATTCCACAGCAGCTACACAGTGCAGGGGCGGATCATGTCAAGATGGAGAGCAACATTCGGAGGATGAGCAGAGCAGGAGGCTGTTGTTAAGGATGCCAGCAGTCTACAAGACTTAGGCTCGCCTTTCTGTGCGAATTGACATTCTAAAAAATCTGGCCAAATCTTAAATACCTTTCTGACATAAGATTAAATAGAAAAGATCATATGGAAATCATGCAAACTATCTTTATAGTTTGCCCTTAAGGCCTTAATGCCACATGCATTAAATGCATCACAGGAAATGCACATGGTGATAATGTGTGACCATCTGGTCAGGGGAGGAGGTAAAGCATGTTTTCTCTTTCTCTCTCTCTCTCTCTCTCTCTCTCTCTCTCTCTCTCTCTCTCTTATTTTTTGTACAACTTGATGCTTAACATTTTTAGACATTGCATCACAAACACAAGAGACTGTCTGTACACATCAACCATATGGGCTTTTAGCAAATACAAAGGTGTCATCACACATTTGAGGATGTATTTGCCTATGGACTGTATGTGTACATGATCGCTCAAGTGTGCCATGTGAGTGCGGATGCAAGCGTGTATGTGTGTGCATGTGCATTTATTTATATTCATGTGTTCATTAATCGCTCAAGGCTGATATCTTCACACATAACTAAATATAACACTGGAGACGCGCATACATTTTTACTGTATATGACAGAATGAAAATAATTGTCATGCCCTTCAGCAGAGAAAAAGGATGGAAATATGGATGGACAGGAGGGCAAATACAAGAGAGGGAACTACAAGCCAAGGTCAGCTTGTAAGCTTAATCATATTCATCGCTAAAAATGATGTGATCATTAATCTCTTCCCATCTCCTCCTTTGTCCATTTTTTGCTTCTCCTTCAAGCGACCTATGAGCTCTTAGCGTAACAGTCAATCCATTTACATGCAAAAAAAAACAATCCATGTAAATTTCCTGCAACAGCTTAATATCCTGCTGTGTGCGTGTGTGCATGCCTATGTGTGCATTCGTGCGTTCTGTGTTGCTGTGCTGGGGGCGTGTTCTGCCAGCCCTTCTGCCAACGGCTCATGCATAATATCATCAGAGCATGCCACGGCAACGGGCATCCTCCGACTGTGATCACTGTGTGTTGAAGTGTTTGAATGTTGTGTTTGTGGGTAGACACATCGCAATCCAGATCTAATTTTGTCTTGTTCAACTCTTGCCAGAGCGATTGGAGATAAGGTGATTGTCAGCATTCGTGTGCATGCTGTGATTTAAGAGGCACAGCTGTCCGCTGGGAGATGACACACCTTCACACTCACCAATACAACTGGGGACAAGGGGGAGCGAGCGAGCAAAAACAGAAAGAGTGAGAGAGAGACACACACGCAGAGAGGTCAGAGTGCTGATATGGACTGAACAGAGGAGCAGAAATAAAATAAAATCAAGCAAGAGGAAAGGGAAAAGGCAAAACAGCATGAAGAAAAATACAAGAGGCAGAAAGAGAGGGTAAGAGACAGTGAGAGAGTTACAGAGAGAGAGATATCAGGCAAGAGAAAGAGAGAGAGAGAGAGAGAGAGGCAGAGCCCCCTAACTCCAGTGATTCCCAGACTGGCTGGCTGGCAGCAAGCTCTGTGCTCTGATCTGCCCGCTCTGATGGGGTTTCATGCCCGTGCAGGCAGTGTTGGGGATCCTGCACTAATTCCTTCCTATTGACCATATCAGCCTACACAGACGTAAGTCAGGACAGCTAATCTCAACCTTATTGGCGTCTAATGGATCAACCAATGACAGTCAATAGAATCCAAAAAGGGAGTTAAAAGAAGATCGAACGCAGCGGCCCAAGGAACGACTGGCAGATATGAGAGGTAGGAGCTCCATCACTGAGAAGGATAACAACATTTTGTGTGTAATTGTGTAAAAGATAATGTGTGTGTATGCATGGCAAGGTGGGATGCTATCAGCTGCTAAGGCCAGTATGTCGTATAACTGAGTGATTATAAAGCATAGATGCAACACACATCAGCATTACATCCACATTATTTTATGTTTATAGTTGTACATTAGTTTTATCTAGTGGTTCCTGTTGCAAATAGGTATTGTCATTGGTAACAAGCTGATTTAAAGTGGTACTTGCTGTGGGTTGTGTGTGCATGTCATAACAAGCTTCTCTGTGTGTGTACTTTGGGCTGGAGGGACCCATCAGAGCAAAGAGCCATTCTCCTGTGTTGACCTCATTCCAGAGCTGCTGTTACAACGCTCCACTGGTCTGAGGCTGTTTATTATGTGCCCATGTATGCATTATATGTATATGAGCTTCTTTATGAGTAAGTGCACGTGATTAAATGCATTCTTGCATTCTCATATTCTCATTTTTCACAAACATAGATGCAATTAACACAGGGCTTTGCACTACAGCGCGCTAAATCTCAACCCAACCATGTTCTGATGTTTTTTTGTTGAAGCAAGCAACATAATACCATAACAGTAACACTGCCAAGAGGCACTGTACCAAACTAACACCTGAGATTAGACCTGGGAGCGCCTGGACATTTTTAAATCTGTAAATCACAATCCACAGCAAGAAGTCCAACCGTCACGCAGAGGCGAAATGATGATTGCATCCTTGTATATGGGACACTGTCACTGTGTGTGTTTATTCAAAGAACAGGGACAACGGCTTTAGTATTTTCCAAGTGATACTGCTGGTTAAGTGATGAATGCTAAATAGCTGTTATGCGGTGTTTGAACACAGAAGTTAGATTGTGCTGTCCTATTCAAATTCAACATTCCCCAAAGGTTGTTTGATTAATAGCTGCACAGTGTTTGCTAAAATTATTCTGGAAAAATGTTTCAGTGATATGAGACTCACAGCTGCCTCATCACAAAGGCATAATTTAGGTGAAGATACATGCCGCTTGATATAGGAGAAAATTAGAAAATTCCCATTTCAGAAAACATTAAACAATCTCAGTTAGGAAAATGGCTACCAAACTGCTCAGAATAACATTTTCAATTTAGCTGTTGTGCCTGTGGAGATAAACGTGGTGCAGCAAATCTATCTGTTCAGGATCTACAGTATGAGTGTGACTTGCAAGCTAGTTACATGCCCAGGCTTGGGTCTGAGCTTCATTTCATCAAGCCTCGAGCTAGTCCAGCCAGTGCTATAAATACTGATGTAATGTTCCACAAGAAATGGACATGTGAAGTCAACTCAAAGGGAATCAGACACCCAATATCTGCTGTGTATGGATTTGTGTGTGGGTGTAGTGTGGGTGAAGGGTTATGAGGCCTTGGTGAAGTCACCAAGGACAACTGTCTAAGGGGTGGGTGGGGGGTAGGAGTTGGCATATTACTAATAAGTTTACTTTCCTGTTTATTGCAAGTGAACTGCATTATTTTCTAAAGACTTCATTTTCAAATGGATTTCATATATTCATGCCAAACCAAAGTATCAATCTTGGAATTTATTTGACCACTTAATGTCTTCTGTGACAAAAGCATTTATTTACTTCAGCTAAGGTGGTTATGATGGCAGGTGAAGAGCTGAAGTTGTAGTGTGAATGTAAGCAATAATGTAAAAGTATAGTACAGGGTATTGCTGAATCTTTAGTCAACCTGGAAAATAAAATCTTCAAACTTTCAATATATATATATATATATATATATATATATATATATATATATATGTAGCTGTTTTCCTTTTAGTATTTTGCTGCAAATGCACATGCATACTTTTAGATGTCTAATTCAATATTGTGTCCCCTTGTCTCCACAGTGGTACTGGTGTGTGCCCTCCTCTCCCTCCTGTCTTTATCACACGCCTGTCCAAAGGAGTGTAGCTGCAACAGCAACACTAAAGTAGTAGACTGCCGGGGTCGAGGCCTATATGACATCCCCCGACGACTGCATCCAGACACCCAAGAACTGTATCTCCAAGATAACCGTATCAGGGGACTGGGATCAATGGCGTTTCGCGAAATACCCCTTGTCCGCATTCTCGATCTATCTAATAACTCTATAACATCTGTTTCACCAACTGCTCTGCTGGGTCTCAGAACTCTACAGCGCCTCAGCCTGGCCTACAACAGCCTGAGAGAGCTTGACAAACGGTTGCTTGGACCTATCCGCTCGCTTTCACACCTTGACCTCTCACACAACAGGTTAAGCAACAGAAGAGGGAAAAGATCAAATTTATTATTTGCGGTTTGTTGAACAATACACACTGTAAACTTGATCCCACGTAACTGATTGTATCTCATCCCATTCTCTTGACATGTCCCTTCCTTCAGCCTGTGGGGTTTGCCTGGAGCCATAGGGGACAGTTTGAGGAACCTCAGCCACCTGGGCCTAGCGCAAAACAGGCTAACGCGATTGGACCGTTCCCTGTTGGAGGCCCTGACCCGCCTGGACAGCCTCACACTACGAGGCAACCCCTGGAGGTGTGACTGCCAGCTCATAGGCCTGAAACTCTGGCTGGAGACCTACCTCTTTAAAGGTTAGACCACTAGTAGCTCTAGGCAGTAGCTGGGGAATGTCTGTAATGTTTCCAACATTCATCCAACTCACTGCCTTTCCTGCTCGGCATGGTATTAAATTATGGTAATAATGACCTTTAACACAAGCAAGTATCCTAAAACCACAAGAGTTGAAATGGCTGGACTCTATAATAAAATGGTCAGTTTTCACAGTGAGAGGAGAGGCTCTTTTAAGGATTAAAATAGACTGACTGACCCCAAATGGATATGATGTTTATATATTTTGCCCTTGAAGAAATCTGACATAGCGGATTTAAGACCAGGCTTAACAGTCTGTCCAGTTATTAAAGATGGTGGAATGAGAGTGTGTGTGTGTGTGTGTGTCTCATGTTGTTTGGTGTGTAGCAGTGGAAGGAACGTAGGTTGTTTTTGGGCTATAATACTATTATTAACATCTGATGAATGCTGTGTTTGCAGAGGTGACCACATGCATGTAAGACCCATATTTGACAATGTTACGATGACGATTTACAACATTTACTGTACATTAGTGTCTTTACTGTGACTGGTGGTTCACATTGAATTGCTCTACAGCTTAGCAAAAAGTGACAAAAAGAATAATGTTGTGATGTTGGGAACTCTATGAAGCAGCCCTGATCTATACAACCAGAGATAGAGTGTATATGGGTTATTAAGAGTTAAACTGCAGACTACATTATTTTCCATGCTAGACCAAACCCAGCATGCATTAGATAACAAAATAACCACTGTACAGTGAAAGCTAGGCTTGCTTTGAGTTGGCTGGCCCGCCTACATGCCTGTTACCCTGACACAACTATCGTCTTAAAGGAAGAAAATCCTAATTACTGCAAAACACAACAATGAGTGCAGATACAAGGATGTGTTCTTAATAGAAAGCCAGTGGTTAATCAGGCAGGCAGAAAGGAAGTGTGTGACAGAGCATGCTCGACATGAATACAGAGAGATGAATAATAAAGAGATTTACGAGACAAACAGAGGGCAGCTGATGAAGTCCTAACTACGCTTTGTCGCCAGTAATTGAGCTGTTAATAATATGACACTTGTTATTACAGCCCATATAAAAAAAGCCATCAGACCCTAGGTTAATAAATATCTAAAGTAATGGGCTGGTTCAGTCTCAGCTATGACTGTGATTGTGGCTTCATCTGTAGTAAGCTGTCAAAAATGAAATGGGAAAATTAACAGCAGGAAATGTGCTTATAATACACAACAACTGACTGATGCATGCTTCAATACTCCTTCCTGCCCCTCATTCTTTCTTTTACCTCCCTCTCTGATCTAACTATTTAACTCTGATCCCAAGGTGGAGTGGTGGATGAGGTGCTCTGCTCCCAGCCAGACGACATGAGGGAGAGAGACCTGCAGAAAGTCCCTTACCAGCTCTTCCATGCCTGCATGACCACAAGCTACCATTACCTTTTTGCTAACATACACCACCTGGAGTCTGAGAGGCTACTGCGAGGCCACACCCATGGCAACCATGCTCATCCCTCTAGCCACGCTCTCCATGTCCCCATGGCAATGGGGGAGGGTTATGGCGGAGGGGGAGGAGGAGGAGGAGGAGGAGGGAGTTTGCCAGAGTGTGAACCTAAGCAGAGGCAGCGGCCCGTCAACCTGCGCCACGCCATTGCCACAGTGATCATCACTGGCGTTGTGTGTGGGATCGTGTGTCTGATGATGCTGGCTGCAGCAGTGTATGGCTGCGCCTACGCAGCTATCATGGCCAAATATCAGCGGGAGCTAAAGAAGAACGAGGAGTTGGCAGCAGCGCAGGGAGCAGATCATGCCACAGCAGATGAGAAGGAACCACTGGAGAATGCTATCGCCTAGGAGAAGATAACATGAACCCTGGACATTAAAATCTGGGCCTCAACCCTTTAACCTTATCGTCTCTGGATGCCGTGTGTGTGTTAGTTCATGTGTGTTTGTGAGAAAAAAAAAAAGAAGAGAGTGAGATTCTTTATGAGTGAGTGTGTTTGTATGTTCACCTCCTTTCTGAGACTTGGGTAGCTAAATTCCCCAGGTATTTGACTATGCACTGATGAGAAGAGTATCTTCTACTGTATGCGGGTTCGAGGGGCAGGCCAAAGAATCCATCCAATTCCATTTAGTCTGAGAAATGCATATCACAGATATGAACAAATTGGTATATATTTATAATTGTGTATTTGTAGGTATAATAGTAAAGCTCTGGTGTTTATAAAATGGATTTCAGAGTTTGGTTGTCTTTTGGTTGTTGTTCATAATTCTGAGTCTGATTTTGAGGTAATTTTGAAAACTCATAGTAGGCAGCTGCTCTCAGTTAAGTTTTGATCTAAGTTGTTTTGTATCATTGATGTGAGTGTATGAAAACAAGAATGAGTGTTTGTGTCAGTGTTTCATTTCTGTGTGTGTGTGTGTGTGTGTGTGTGTGCAGATGTTAACTGTATGCACATATTTACAGAGATATAAGAGTCTGTGCCTAATAACGTGACATAGTTTTAAAGAGGATATATGTTTTCTTAAAGGATATTTTTCTGACAACTGAAGTGGAGATGGGAAATTCATTGAAGCAATAATGAAACAAACTAAAATGAAAACAACAACAAAACCTGGACTCAGCCTGTTGTTTTTCTATGACTTTACAGGTTCATAAGCCTGAATTATCATCCTGCTGCACACAGGCATACAAACCTTTAGATCTATAGTTTTTGAGATCAGTAGAGTCTTGTTTGTGAGTTAATGCCGATCATTAAATGGTAGTCATGTCCTGCAGTATGTATTATATAAAATAAAGGAAAACATTTTACCGGATTACTGTATGTATACTTGGCGACTACTTTGAGAAGGCATACATCCTTAAATGGAGAAAATATCTTTAAAAGAGAGGTATTTTGAAAAAAGAGATGTCCACTTTGGAGTGAATGCCAATGTTTGTAGTGTACTCCCTTCTGTTCACCAACTGTTTATGTAAGGACATAGTACCAGAATGCCTTGTTTATAATAAACTGGGAAATATGGTAAAGTCACAGATAGCAATACCAATTTCTCAAAGTTGCAGGAAAATATCATTTAAAGTGTTTTTGCCACTCTCAGTTTAATGTGTTGCTGGTCGATTAACATTTTTGTGGTTAGTGAGGTTTCTGTTGAATCATTTCGTCAAATAATCTGACAGAGATAATGGGGAAACTCAGAAATATTGTGGATTATTTTTGATATTATTTTAACAATTAGCTACTTGCCAGAGATAAATTTGAATAAATGCTGGATCTATGACATTATATTTCCCTTAAATATATTGCCCAACCGTCGTACAATTAAAAGGGAATTCAAAAGCATTACATAATGCAATTTCAGGTGATCAGATTTCTGTCTTAATTATTTTAATATATGTAAAATGTCACAGATTTCAGGCAATGTTTTTAGATTATATTAAAAAAGTAGATAGCTGTGTACATTACAAGCACACATAATTTATATATATAATAATTTGCCATTACTAGTAACATTTAACTTACTTGGAGTACTGTGGAGGCACATGAAATTACACAGATGCCTTTGGTCTTAACGCCTGACCTGAGTTTTATGACTCTGAATATTACGGCATCAGATTTGCTGCACGTGGCTCAGGATGTGACCACAAACACTGACACACCAACACACACAAACAGACACAGTGGCATAGACATGCGTGTATGTACGCACACGGTAACATTGTGACTCAAGCAATGTCTGCAGGGCCCAGGGTGTGTGATGTCATCAGCCTGTCCTGTTAAGTTAGTGTATTAGTGTATTCACAAGTCTACAGCTCAGTGGAGCGCAGGGCAGTGAAAACTGGCCCTAACCGGCCCACGCTAAATTTGCATTCTAGCCTACATCTCTCCTCCCATCTGACTCTCTTATATAAAATCATCCTTACAGACATCCCCGGACTGACAAGCATGATTGTTATTACTGAATATCAGTCCCCAACGTAACAATAGGGTATTCGTGAAACCTTGTTACTGATTAGTCATTTGGATTGCTGTTTAACAGAATTTAAAAGAATGATATTATCTTATAACAATAGTCAACAGGGTCAAATAATACTGTGGGTTGGTGTAAACTGTGGGCTGCTTATGCGCCGCTCTGCTAGAAATCTGATGCATACTCTGTATGCATGTGTGCTGTGGCACCACACAGACTCCCATCTCTGTCCTTCTGCTCCAGTGGTTTCCCCCGTGGCCAAGAGTACCCACAATGCACTGCTTTCATGTCAACGCATTCAGGCACCGTGAAATAATTTTCTCTTTCTCTGCCCTTTTATTTCCTCTCTTATTTTATCACTGCGTTTCCAAAAGATTTTCCTCTTTCTCCTTTCTTCAGATTTCCTTTCTTTTGCCCACATAATTTTTCTGAGATTCCTCTACTGGCATTAGTGGCCCTCATCTGTTGACAGGAGAACTCACATAGAAATCATCAAAGTTTTTAATATAAAGCTGTGCTCCACATTGGTCCTTGGTGCATATGTTGGACGGTGGAAAAGTCTGCAATACACCACATACTGTATTTGAATAGAATAATTTGCTCATTCAAGACATCTGTATTGCGTGATTACTAAAGCTTTCAATGTAAAAGGGGACTTCCAAAAGGTCTGCAGAGGAACATTAAGAAAGTTAGAGGCACCTTACTGCAAGCACTTCATCACCATCATCTGTGCTGTACAGTTCTACAGTATTGCATTAGTTCCATAATACATAAAACGTTGACTGGAAGTCATCTTGTGCCTTTGGGGAGAGGTGGGCAATGAATGATGTCATATCACAACTTTCCAAAAGATAATACATCCCTCTCTAACTTCAAGAAGCTCTTGAAAATTAATTTCGTCCCAGAAGACTTTCTCTTATAACATCTCTAACCCCTAATGTCCAACATGCACTGCCTGTGCTCGTCTTCCTGTATCTCCTTACAACTAGCTTGTCTTGATTGCTCTATTTGTTAAAGGTGCCGTGGAATGCTCATTTTCAAGTTCATATTTGTATTTAGGGTTTCTACTAGAAAATGTTTACCTGCTTTAACGTTCAAAAAACACATTATATTTCTCATACTGTCCACTGCTTCAGCACTTCTTTTCACCCTCTTTCTAAATACTGTTTTAGCTCCTGTCTCTTTAAGGCCCCCCTCCTGAAAGCCCACTTTCCCGAAGCACAGAAGAGGAGCGGGGCTTAGCTGGACCGGGCTAAATCAAGGTCTGCTCTGTGAGACTAAGGCTGTTTCTCAATATCGAGTTTGCCAAGTTCGGACTTCTGTACTTTTTTTTTCTGTACTTGGCTCGGGAGTACAAACTTCCAGAACTGGGAGCACACAGTCCGTCATTTAGCAGTTGGAACAGTTGGTCCCGTTAGTGGGCATGACCTCACATCTCCGAAAACATTGTAGCAAATTTTCAAATCAGCTCCATCTTGATAAATCGACCAGACATTTGGAGTTTAAACAATCTTAAAACTGCATTCTGTGTCACAATAACCGCAGTATTATAACTTACAGTTGTGAGTCCTCACCACTGCCATTTACATTTGTTGGCACAAAATGCATTCTGGGATACTGGCTATCCGAAGTCCACACAAGTCACCACCAATGCAGGCTCGGTAAAGCAGGCAGAGCGAGAACACATCTGGGTATTTCACTGTACTTGGCTAGATGCAGACTTTTGAATTGGTAAGTTGGGCTAATTGGTTGGGCTGCGACTAACGACGTTTCCAGTCCACAAGCACAGACAAAAATGCAGATTGAGAAACAGCTTAGGCCTCACTGATTACTGTACAAAAACACAACTTTATTCTCTGTTTCTGCTGAAACTGGATCAGAGTTAATGGAGAAAAAATTATTAGGGTTTCCCTTCGATGTCTTCCAGTTACTCTACCTCCACACAGATTTGATATGTTACTGGCTACTTTAGCAACTAACTACTGATAACAGCAGCTGCTACTGAGTTAGCCGTGCAGCTAGCTGTCCTATAGCTGATTCTGCCCAGACTGGAAGCTGTGTCTTTGGGGTTGTGTTGGTTGTGTTACACCTCTGATATTACTACAGAAGCTTTGAACCCCTGGTTCAGAGCCAGCTGATAACAGGAGCTACTGTTAGCAACAGCTAGCGGTTAGCAACAAGTAAAGGTATCTGTCCATTAGGAAACTTCCAACATTACAGAGTTGAGGCAAAGCAGGCAGAGGACATCAGAGGGAAAACTAAAAATATTTACCTTTCTTTCATAACCGTAAAAGCGCTTTCTGTGAGACTGCACTGCACAACCTACAGCTGTTGCTCTATGACCTTGTATAACCGCTAACTCTGGAACTTAAGCTGGTCTATGTAACTTTGGGGGTATAACGTAACATCTAGATCTTGTTGGCATTTGCCCATTTCTGGGGGGTTTTTGGTGCGCGAGATATACATATAAAGGAGGAAACAATGGAGATTGAGGCTCACGGTATGTCAGTTACATTTACTGAACTAATTTTATTCAGCTATGCCAAGGGAAATACAGTTTTCCATTCTACGGCACCTTTCACTCTTATTGCTTCCCCTAGGTACTTATCCCATTGATGCAGTATGTGTTAATAGCTCTTACTTGTAGTATTGCTGCTCTTACTACTATCTATTGTTACTTCTCTTACTTCTCTTACTTTACTGATTTGCATGTTGTTCCTCAAATATCAGTCCCTTTGGATAAAAGCGTCTTCCAAATAAGTAAATATAAATGTAAATGTAATACCATAACTACTTTGAAACCTTATGTCTATCTCTCTATCCTCCCCCTTTACACATTTCTTCAGTTTAATCTGCAGTTCCCTTCCTAAGTAAACCATGTTGATGCTCAACAGAACAAGGGCCGAACTTCATACCACTGATTAACTTATTGCACCAAGTTGCATTATATGGGCGTGACATTGTGGGGCTTCTGAGTCACCAGGATGTGACATGAAGCTGGCCACAATAAAATCCTCTAGGCCAGAATATGCCTTAAATAAGCACAGAGGCAAAAAAACAAATGCACAAAAGGCATTTATGAAGCTAGTTTCTATTATTATATGTAGGCAAATAATATCTGTGCTATGTTAAACTCTCGCCTTCTTTTGAACATATGTTGATGCAGGGGCAAGCACATGGACAAGAAAAGCAGCACGGTCAGTATATGTGGGCAGTGAGTGTTTCAACTCAAAAAAGAGGAAAGAAGTAGGGGTAGACAGCAGT